TGGTAGTCAGAGTATTTTTGATATTTTTGTTTGTTGTTCTTGATTGTTGTTACAAACTTTAGCTTATAGTGTTCTCAGTTTATGAGTAGGTTGATGTACATAAACTTTACAAAATTGATGAATGAATAAAATTCTTTTATTGACCAAAAAAAAGTGCATAAGTATAATTATATGTAAGTATATTGCATCTAGTATATATAAAACTAAAGTATATCATATAAGTAAACTGTATAATTGTACTTAAATAAGCATAATATAAGTATGTAACAAATACATATATAACTATATAATACACATTTATAAATAAGTAATATATACTTATGTGATTCTCTCTCTCTCAAGTTATAACTTATAAGTACATACAATATATTTACATATAATATATGTATATATAATATATAGTTATATAATAATTTGTAAGTATCTACTAATACATACTTATATAAATATAATAAGATTAATCTAATTTTTAGCAATTTTTAAAAAAAATAAAAAATTGAAAATGACCAAGCCGGCCCGATCGTTTTCATATGTAGAGATTTTTAGTTAATTGTTAAATTATTGTTTTTTCATATGTAGAAATTTTTAGTTAATTGTTAAATTATAATTTTTTATATGATTAACTGATTATTAATAAAGAAGTTATTTTTATCATTTTAATTTCTATGATTTTTTGTATTTATAAATTATATAATTACAAGTGATTAATAATATGATTGTTTTTATCAAAATTTTGTTTAATTTTTTGCTATCTATTCTTAAAAATAAATAAATAAAATAAAAAATCAGGTCGGCCCGGTACTCGGCCCGCTCAGACCCGGGCCGGGCCGGACCAGCCTGTTTGGACGGGCCTAGATAGACCTTTCTCAACATTTATACATGGAATGACTATGATGATCTATCTCAAATATAACTATATATCACCGTATTTTTTATAAATTGTACTCATTAGCATTTTTCTTCAGACAAACCATAAAAAAATACTATGTAATAAACGATTTTGATTGAAGAAATGAACTTTACTAGGGTCTAGTGGACTCGTCACTGTAACTTTTAGCACTATAAAACCAAACATCTACTTTTATATACGCAACGTTCTAAGCCTATACCATTTTTTACCTTAATTAATATAGGAACTAGTATCTCGCAAAACTTCAAGCTTAAGCAATGTGAGTCCATGGCTTTGTTATATCCAGTGCACAAAATGGGCATCGAAGTAATCTCACTCTGTTGCCTACTGCTTTCAGAACATATCTCCTTTTAGAATTTCACAAGAATGTCTGAACATATAAAAACCCACGCTAAAAAAAAAGGGGGGGGGGGAGGGAAGAAAGGAGTCTCAAGGCCGTACACCCCCTCATGCACAAATATAGAGAGTGAAAGTTTACGTATACACTCTACCCCACCACCAGAGCCAACCTTTTTTGCCTTCAGAACACGTATGCGCAAAATGAGAAGTTGATTAATGTTACGAATTAATGCTTGATATTGGTTGATTTATCAAACTTATTAATTTAATGAATCACTAGCAAAGCAAATCATAGAATGCACTCACTTAATCTCTTATCTCCTTTCCTTTTTTTTATTTTATTTTAAAACATGTAGGTATAATTAACTAATCTCTCAACTTTCATGCATATTATAACATATATAGGAACCCACTAGCACTAGTACCTCTCTGCATTTCCAGCTCCCACATAGAATTACGCCATGAGAAGCTTACAGCCTAAGGAATTTCTCTATTGATCCACCCTACCCCACCTCCTTATTTTAAAAACCCGAAAATAGTTTTTTTTTTAATTTTCATGCAAAATTCAGTATATAATCCCCATCCCACAAAGCAAAAGAAACACAACCCTAGCCTTTTTTTTCTCCTCCTCTCTCTCTCCTCCCCCCCCCCCCCCCCCGCCCCCCCCCGCG